TGTGCAGCCGAAAAGAATGTGTATTCTGATTTTGTGGGGTGGAACACTCTGTAAACATCTGTTAAGTTCATTTGTTGAAGAGTTTGATTGAGTTCCAGTATTTCTTTGCTTATTTTTAGTCTAGTTGATCTATCTATTTGTGACAGTGAGGTATTGAGGTCCCCCACTACTATTGTATTAGTGATTATTTGATTTTTCATGTCCATTAGTATTTGTTTTATATAGTTGGGTACACTACACTAGTGTTTGGTGCATATATGTTAATGTTTGCCTTCTCTTCCTGTTGGATTGTTCCCTTTACAAGGATGTAGTGTCCTTCTTTGTCTCTCTTAATCAGTGTTGGTTTGAAATCCACTGATCTGCAAAGATGGCTACTCTTGCTTTTTTTCAGATTCCTGTTCCATGGAGTATTGTTTTCCACCCTTTAACTTTCAGTCTATGAGTTTCTTTTTGAATTAAGTGTGTTTCTTGTATGCGGCATATTGTTGGATCTTGCTTCTTGACCCATTCTGCCAGTCTTTTTTGTTTGATTGCTGAATTGAGACCATTAACATTGATGGTATAACTGATACATATTGACTTACCCTTGTCATGACTTTTTCTTGTTGTTGGATTCTCCCCCTTTGCATTTAATTTCTTGTCGTGCCCAATGGATTTCTTCTTTTTTTATTTTTGCGGGTTGAGATGTCTTTATTGGGGAGGCTGCACGGGTCCTTAGAGGAAGAGGACACCTGGGAGGTGGGGGAGGTCACAGGCCAAGGGCTGGGCCCTGGGCCCCCCACAGTCAGAGCTGCTGAGGCAACAGGGCCCACAGTGGCAGCTGAGTGCCACAGGGAAGGAGACCACAGGGTCTACACTGGGCGGACAGCTGGGGAGCTGGATGGAGGCGAAGCGCAGCTCGTGGTAGGTGCACACTGGCTGAGGCTCAGGTGGCAGGGCTGTCAGCAGCACCCGCATCATGCTGGGGCAGTAGCCGGCACAGATGCTGGTGGTGAAGGTGACACACACTGGGCAGGCCTCGTTCTCGGTGGCCAAGGTGGCATTGATGGATCGGCAGAGGGGCCGCAGCAGGCCCCTGGAGGCCCACACCCCACTCACACTCAGCAGCAGTCCCAGCAGCAGCCCCTGGAGCATCTCCATTCTTGATGCTGTCCCTACCTACCATCTTCCTAGCTTTACACCTGTGGGCTGTGGGGGCGGCAGGGCCACCTGGTGGTGGCGGCAACCTGGGGTAACCTAGACACTAATCCTCCCCAGGGACGAGAAGCGACAAGGTCACTGAGCCGCAGCAGTGGCTCCAGAGCCACTGTGCTGAAGGTGACCAGAGGTAGAGCCCAGGCCCCATTGGAGGCACAGAAAGTAGGGTGCAGAAAGCCCTGCCTGGGGAGAGAGGGAGAGGGCTCTGGTTGTTCCTCTGACACGGGAAGGTGCTGGGACCACCTGAGGCCTCTGGAAGCCACCCATCTGCCCGCCAGTCCTGCCTTTCCAGAGGCACGTGGCTTCCGTATTAGGGTCCAACCAGTCCTAGAGGCCTCCGGTGCTGTGCTGGAGCAGGGACCTGTGTGTACCCCGACGCCACCAAGAGATTCAGACAGCATCCCCACACCCAAACCTGCAAGAAGTCAGGATTCTCAATGGATTTATTCTCCTGGGCTTCCTGGGGTTGTGATCTTCATTGTCTTTCCCTACAGTATTGTCTAAAATTTATTGGAGTGCTGGTTTGGTATTCATGAAGTTCCTCAGGTGTTCTTTATCATGAAAGTATCTT